GAATTCTGACCTCTCCTGATGAAGTAGCATTTGTTCTTGGATTCCACTTTCTATAGGGTAGGGGTAAGAATACAATTGTGCCTTGGCCTGGGTATAAACCAAGTTGTCCAAGTGCATTATTGTAAATAGAGATGCTGAACCTATCTTTGCCATCAGAATGGACCAGTGAACAAGCACTAGGATCAGAGTGGGGCCTGATTAGCCTGTGTTTCTGTAGTTTGGGATGGAAAGTTGAGGGAGGAAGGTTGAAGTCCCTGGGGAAGGGCTGCAGAGCCTTGTGGGAGAGCAGTCCAGGCCTTCCTGTCTGGACCACCCAATGAGCCTTTTCCTGAGCCTCTCGCTCAAGTGGGCACAAGACATCTGACGATGACCCTGAGCCATCCAGGGGCCCCAAGCTGCCGGCTGTAGAGACAAAACCAGGCTATGTGGTCTGGGCTGCCAGCGGAAGTACAACTGAGGTCATGCAGACGATATCTGTCATGTGATGCCATGGAGAGAGGGGCAGGGGAGCTTGTCATAGTGACTGATGCCTGAGTCCCTGCCGGTGGTGGATACCTCAGAAAATTCCACTGGGCTATGGGGGCGGGTGATGACAAGAAGCAGGTGTGACTCTCTAGTCACAGTGGGCCCCTAGGGTGAGAATCCTGACCCTGTGTCACACAATGGACCCAGCAGGCCAGAATAGATCACCAGATAAGGCCTAGAGACCACGAAACCTCCAGGGCCTCTGTGCCACATCGCTGGCCTTAGCTTAGCCAAGGTCTCTGCCAGGTAACCTCAGCCGAAAGCAAGTGAAGCTGCAGCCTTGGAGATAGTAAGCTGTCCGCCTGTGGAAGAGGGTTCCCTGGGCTGGGCTGACTCAAGTTTCAGGGGTAGAATCTCTATCTTCCAGGGGGTTAAGGCACCACCGGGGCCCCTGGGGAAGGGAGGAAGTGGGTTTCTGTGATTTTACCAAAGCTGTTCCTGTAGATTGAGACTCAAAGGAGATACCCAGGGAGGTACTGGTTCATCTTCTTGCTAAAATGACATCATAGAGGTATAGAGGTGACAGGTACCCAGTTACCTGCTGTGGTGGTATCGGGGTGCCCCTCTGGTAATCACATTGGGATGGGATTTTTTTTTTTTTGGTCCTGGTTCCTTGGTCAGAAGCAGGTATCAGGTTGCACATAAAGGGTCTCCCCTGGGAGCTGTCTGAGCCACAACTGCCTCCTTCAAGCATGCCTTTTACTCCCTTCAAGCCTTTGTGGCCTACTCTCTTGGGCCCAGAGCCCTGCCTCAGAGACATTCCATTCCTTTGACCATCAGAGGCCTGGGTCTTCCCAACTAACACACTTCCTGATACTAGGCCATCAAAACTCCTCAAGGTCACCATAGAAAACAAACTCAAGCACCTGAACCATACCATCCCTCCTGCTTCTGACCCTACCTGTCAGTCTGACCTGTCTCATAGAGCACCTGTTAATTATGCAGAGGATCTGGGTTCAGTTTTCCACAACCAAATGGCGGCTTACAGCTATCTGTAAGTCCAGTTCCAGGGGCACCAACACCCTCTTCTGGCTTCTGCAGGTACTAGGCAGGCATGTGGCACACGTACATACATGTAGGCAAAACTCCATACACACAAAGCGAAGTTAAAAAGTGAGAACAAATTTTCAAAAGGGCAAATTTGAAGAGCCATCTGCTGTGTTCCCCACCCTTGCTCACTCCCCAGCCCAAGGCCTCTGGCTTCTACCCAACACCACACTGCGGCTGCTTCCGGAAGCCTCAAGACATTCTCATCAAAATCCCTATAAGTTCTCCTCACCCTGCTGGCCCCTCCAGCCATGCCTCATCATCTCCTAACTCAGTCCCTTTCTGTGCTAGGGAGGGGGGACACTTGATCTCTGGGGTCAGATTGATCTATTATTCACATTTGGCTCTGGTGATGGCTCCTCAGCATCTTGAACCCAATCTCTCTAAACCTCAGTTTCCTCATCTGTAAAATGGAGTTAATGATAGTACTGCTTGATAGGCCTATTGTGAAGATTGAAGCATGACAAGGTCTTTGCTCCTGGCACTTTCTAAATGCTGCTGAATAGACTTAGCTGTGCCAGCTCCGAGCACCATCTAGATCTTTCCATCCCCATCTGAACCAAGTCCAGCCTCTCCACCCTTCAGGTCCAGAGAATCCCTCAACCCCTTTTCTTGATGCTTCCCAAGGTTTCAGGCATCTCAAACTAGACAGAGCTTCCTGGAACACCATTGTATCTTGCTGGCAACTGTGTCATTGCAATTAGCAAGATGCACCATTCCCTTCTAATGAACTTTATAATTACTTTTATTGATTAAAAGTGTTGCTGTTAATATTTGAGACAGCTTCTTGTCACATTGCCCAAGTGGCTTCAAACTCCTATGCTCAGATGATCCCCCTGCTTCTGTCTCTGAGCTGCTGGGACTATAGGTATGCTACCATATCCAGCTTAGTATCCTGTTCCCAACAAGAAAAAACCCTACCAATGCCAATGTTCCTTCCTTTCCCTTTTTTCTTTTAAAAAAAGTATTTGTGTGTGTGGTAGAAGATATGTACATGTATATGTGTACATACATATGCATACATGTATATGTACAGATTGTGGTATATATGCATATGTGTGTGTACATACATGTATGTGCATCTGTATGAATGCATATGCATGCCTGTGCAACTGTGTACATGCATGTAGACGGTATGTGTGCCAGTGCACACACATGAGGCCAGAGGAAGACCTCTGGTGCCCTGTTCCATCACTCTTTACCGTAAGAGCTATCCTCCTGGTCCTGACAATTTTCCTAAACACTGGTACATATTCAATGCACAAAATGGAAGGTCTCATTACGGCATTTTCACAAACTTAGGTCGAAACTTTGCTTGTACTCTACTCTTCCCATTATCTCTGTACTGCCAATAGTGCTACTGGAAGTTTCCTCATTGCTGCAGCACAGAACCAGGAGTTTTAAGGAGGCAAAGAACATATGTAAGAATGTTTTGTCACCACAGCTTTAAAGCTTGTTGTTTTAGAGCCAGGTGTGGTGGTGGTGCACTTCTTTAATCCCGCACTCAGGAGGCAGAGGCAGGCAGATCTCTGTGAGTTCAGGGCCAGCCTGGTCTACAGAGTGAGTTCTAGGACAGCTAGAGCTACACAGAGAAACCCTGTCTTCGGAAAAGCCAAAACAACAACAAAATCATTGTTTTGAATTCTTTTCAAATCATCTTACTTACACGAAAATAGAGACTTTCCTCAATGAGGAGTCAAACCATACACTGTCTGGTCTCCAAAATGCTTATACCCAAAGTAATAGCAAACACTAGTGGAGAGATCAGGAAGCAAACCCCAGTCCCTGGGGCCCTGGGGACCTTGCCTGAGTTAAAGTCACTGGTAGATTTAAATCAGAGAGGGTCTTATCAAAATGAGAATCTTTGGTTCTGAAAGCTGAGAGTACAGTGCTGACATTGCAGGCCTGAGGACCACTGAGACAGGAACAGGGCAGTAGTCCACCTTTCTCTTGAGGCTGGGGTCTGTTTTATCTATAGTGCCTGCGCACAGCAGTTGATTAACACAAGTTATTTGGTTGGGTGATGCCTCCTGGGCACCCAGACTGGTCCTAAGACCCCTGCATGCTGCCTAGTAAGATTACCCTTAGTTACAGAGCATACTCCGATCTGCATCCAGGGAGTCAAGTCTCCTAGCACAAGGTCTACTAAACTGGGCTGGGAGTGCACAGGCCGTAGACACTCTTCCCTTCAAAGTCTTTACCTCCCTTGCAGCTACACCCTTATCTTTCACCATATTTGCTCCTGCTCTGAAGATAGAAGCACCCGGTTTCCCCTGCCTCAGCACAATGTGCTAGTCTTCATCTCCCCATGCTGATCACATCATACCACATCCCAACCCAAGCCCTGCTTTCTCTACCTGCTTCCCTGCAGCCCAACCCAATCATCTTAAAGAAACATTTTACCAGTCCCCATCACACACATCTTTTAACACAACTCCAGCTACCCCCCACGGGCAAGGGAACCACCTCATCCTTCAGGGACTGTCCCTCGGCTCTCTACCCTCCTGGCTTTCCCACTTTCTCTCTAGATTTGGTTTCTCTGGTCCTTTGTGAATGCCCCCATAACTGTGCCTGCTCCCTTCACACCTCTGCAGGCCAGTGCCCACTGCATCCATGCTCCAGGGAAGACTGGGATGTAAATCTCTCAATGGAGCTTTCCTTTAGGGAGCTGCCCTCTTCTCTCTACTTACCCTCCCCACTGAGACTGCTAAACCTTCCAATACAGTGTTTCCTCCAACTCCAAGTGACACTGTTCTCAAGGGCCACCTTTGTCCTTAAGTCCCCAAGCCTAATTATCTGTGCCATCAGAAGGGTGACCAGAACTTGCAGCCATATTTCCATCAAGGGTTTTTGTCCTCTAGATGTGGGTTCAGAGGCACATTGTACTGTTAGGGTCAATGAAAGAGTGGGCTGAACTCCATCTACAGGAATAAGGGTCAAGGAAGAAGCTGCCTAAAGGCATACCTAGCTCTAGCTACCACCTGCCAGAGGACTAGCCCACACACAAATGCTTGACTTGTGTCAGAAGCTCAAGTCTGTACCTGTGACTCTGCTGGTCACCTCCACCAGGTAGGGTGTACAATAAGGATCAGGTTTGTTCAAGGGATGGTAGGATGAGGTTCCACTGCAAAGAAGGCCTGAGCTGGCTCTGAGCCAGGCTACTCCCACCACTCTTTTCCACTCTGTCCATCTCTATGATAAAGGAAGAAGATGGCCTTTGAACAAGCAGTCTTGCTTCCCATGTCGATGATCTCAAGGACTAGAAAGTGATGAATAAGTTTGTGGTTTGCTATGGAGGTTCCATGTCAGATAAAGCTCCTTCCGATACCTCCCCGCCCCACCATGCCCGCCCCTACGAATTGTAAGCACATATAAGGTGGAGGCCACTGTGGCTTGTTCAGAACCCCGAAAGACCAGAACGAGACACAATGGATCTTGTCAGCTCTAGCACAAGCGTCCTCTTCGTGCTGCTCCTGTCTCTGATGCTGTTCCACCAGGGACTCCAGAATCCACTGAGGCACTCGGATACCTGCCATTCAACCTCAGATGGAGCCTGCACCTTGAATTGCAGCTTAATTGCCATACAGATTATGGAGAAGCTCCCAGTGAGTAGTTGGCTGAGGTTGGCCTGGTGCAGGCTGGCTCCAACAGGTGCCTCAAGCCAACAATCTTGATGGTTCTTTCTCCCTGTGTCCCCACAGAAAATCAACCTCACTTATGTTGATGACAGAGCAATACTGAGGGTAAGTGCTCGGCCCTGCTTTGGGGGCATACTTGGGTCCCATCTATCCCCTGCCTGGGTGACATCATCCATGTCATTCCACCCTGCCTTGTTTCAGTTTTTGCATGTGTCTCAGTTAAGGGAACTACCAAATGACTCTATAAGCCTTACACTTAGCTGGGGATCAGTACATTTTAGGTTAGACAATGAAAAGACCCCTGTGGGCGAACCTATCCCAGGCCCAGCTCCATTTTCAATGGGGAAGCCATGGACTGGCAAATGAGCTGTCCTGTGTCTGTGACTGTGTCTTTTGTCATTCTTCCCCCTTAAAGACTGAGTTTGTGCCATCTACCTCCATCAGCCCCAACCTCTACTTTCCTAGTTCCAGTCAGATGCAATGGTTCTGTCTCTATTCATTTGCTTGGACCTAACATGAAGTCCTTTCCAAGCTTGCTGGATGTCTATTTGTCCCCACCCTGGGAGCATGCTAGGGTCCATAAGAATTTTCTTTCAGGTGTCTAGAAAGTCTTATTTGGGTCAAAGCATTAACCTTGGTGTCTGGCAACTTGGGCATAAGTATTCCCCCTGGTCACCTATCTGTCTTTTTCAGAGCTTGTCTGGGGAGGTGTGTTTTCTTTAAGTGAAGATAGATCTAGCCCTCTACATAGTCCAAAGACAGCCAGGGGTTAGACAGCTTGGTGCTCTGGAGAGCCAGGCCCTTGCCTGGGATATGCACTTGCTTTTAGGCTCAGGGTAAAGAAGGTACCAGGAATGGAGTTGTTCAAATAAGCTTCTAACAGCAGACTCACCTAGCTCTCTCTTACCTCCCCAACTCTCACCTTCCAAGCTCTCACCTCCCCAGGTCTTATCCCCCTCAGCTGTCACCTTCTCAGCCCTTATACTCCCCAGCTCTCACCCCCTCCCCAGCTCTTACATGGAGGATCCTTTGCCTTCTCAGAATGATACCTTGCAGAGAGTAAACCTGTGTGAATTCCTGTCAATGAGAGCAAAATTGGAAGAGAAGAAACCGGAATTGAAGGTTATCAAGACCAATCTTGAGGTGTGTGAAACTGCTGAGGATTAGGAGATCCCTGCCTTCACTCTTCCCAGCATTTAGTGGGGAGGGAAGTAGGGCCTGCTCCTTTCCCCGGGGATCTGACTGTGCCTTGGCGTCTCTCCACAGAAACTTGAGTATTGCCTGTCCACACCTGTGAGTGCCTCCAAGGTAAGCTGTCCTCCCCTCTCCATACCCTGAAGGTGTGCCTTTACCCACAACCAGACTTATAGCTTGCCGTGGCCCTCAGCAACCTGTTCATCTCTAATGCCATCTTCTCTGGTTCTTCACAGATGGCAGGCATCTACCTAGAAGAGGATCTGGAAAAGTTTCAGAAGAAACTGAGATTCTATGTGAGCCAACTGAACAATCTGCTGCCGGTACCTAGACCACCTCCTTCACCGTCTGACTCTGTCACTTCGCGCCCTGTGGTCATGGAATGTGAAGACAGCACAATGACTGGAGTCTGAATGTCCCTTATGGTCCATGCCCAGGAGGAGGATTCCATTTCCCCCTGTGGCAACAGATGTATTATCAGTTAATTTACTCTCTGTTCCCATTGTATTCCACCAAGGCTATTTATTTATGTAGTATTTATTTATTTATTTATTTATTACCTTCTGCAAATGTGAAATATACCTGTTTTAGCTGAGGAGTTGTTTCACCATGTTTTAAAAGAAAAAAAAATACAAGGGAGACTGGGGCATGTTCATCTGTTCCTTGTATTTTAAACTGGCTTTTAAACACTCATGGAAATAAAGAATTTTGAAAAAATGGGCTTTGTTTTGTTAAGTGTCTTAGTTTGGCTGCATCTCTGTGGTAGTCCTAGATGAGACTTGTGGGTCATGATCTTTGTGAGCAGGGTAAAGGCTGTCCATCGCAGCACCCTCCTGCCATTCCCTGCACAGAGGGACCTCAATCCCAGCATCACAAGCAGCCACACGGCATACAACATGTGCCAGATCTTGATCTGGACATTTCACCTGTACTATTTAGTACATTCCTCATTCTCCTCAAACCTCAAACCAGAGTGTGCCATCTCTGTTTTATGGGAATACTGAAATCCAATGTGGCAAAGCAAAGGCCAAGTAAAGGCAGCTTCTACATAGTGCCCCAATCCAGGACTCTAGATCATTATGCTGAGGACTGAAATCCCATAGAATGCCCCCTCGTGGTCATGATTAAAACTGCAGCGGTTTCCACAACTCTTAAGTGGAAATCTAGTTCCAGTCTGAATTTCCACATGGCAGTGCCCTTTGAGGATGCAGGCTACTCAGACCCAGATATCCCTCTCCTTCCAGAAGTTTCCATGCCTCCCTGGGCTTCCAGCTTCTCTTGGATGTTTTAGTCTCCCTACCTCTGTGCCTGACTCCAGATCGGCCCTGGGATACATGGCCTATTGAGCTAGGTTGAGCTTTAAAAATGCATTTTTGAAGCCAGGCCATAGTGGTGCATGCCTTTAATCCCAGTATTCGAGAGGGAGAGGAAGGTGGATCTCTGTGAGTTTGAGGCCAGCCTGTTCTACAGAGCTAGTTCCAGGACACGCTCCAAAGCTATACAGAAGAACACTGTCTCGAAAAACCTAAATAAATAAAATGTATTTTTGACCATTAATCCCAAATCTTTGGAGACTTCATGGGCTTGTTTGCAGTCTGTATCTAAGGCCATCAAGTGGGACCCACCTTCGCCCTTGTGTTTCTGCCATATTTTTCAACCTCTTTGGAGTTCCAGCCAACATGGTTTCCCAGATGCCGCCCCCCCCCCAAACACACATACCCCGCAAACCCTTCACCCACCTGCAGCTCGGTCCCACTGTAGGACCACCATCACTACTCTGGATCGTCTAAGCTGACTCGCGAAGGGCTCTTGTTTGAACGGGAAGGGCAGCCATATGATACCTGGTTGCAGACACCAGCCTGTGTGGTGGAGACCTAGGCAGAACTCTGTCTGCTGCCTGACTCTTTGGGGGTCGGGGGGATACACCACAAGAAGCCAGATGAGCCATCTTCCTCTGTCACCTTGCTGGGAAGTAATAACCTCCCTGGTTCCTCAAGAGTCCCTTAAAGATGGCTTTAAGCACTGGCATCAGACCCTAGGGGTCATTCCCCTTTATTCTGCTTTTCCATTTTTTATCTCTTTAAGTTCCAAGTAAGGAACAGCCCAGTTGCTTAAAGATGTAGGAGGGTATCTACAACTAGCTCAGAAATGTATTCTTCTATACCTCTCCCCCAAGTATACTTTTAAATCCCTAAAGAAACGAATCTCTTCCCTGTCCTCTTCTCCATCGCACCCCCAACCCCCATCAAGTCTGACTCATCCGGAAGCCCTCTGGGTGCTCAGAGGGCAGAGAAATAAGGCAGTTCTTAAAATGAACACTAGAGGGAGATGTGCCCCAGGCTTATGGAACACCTTTAGGCACTGTGGGAAAGATGGGGTCTGACATGTCCAGTTAACTTGGAATCTAGACTGGATTCCCCAGTTATCCTGAGTGGACACTCTACCCACTCACCTTCACTCACAGATTATTGGGGGTTTGTTAAATTTTAAGTGGAAGTTCTTATTAGCCACGTGGGCACCATTTGTAGGGAGTAAGGTTTTTCGGCCTGCCGCCACTGGTCTTGTCCTGCTGCCGCACCACCCCAATTAACACACAGAGACTCTGTATTTGATATAATCCTGTTGGCCTGTTACTAGTTTTTTATCGGCTAGCTCTATCTTAATTATTAACCCATTTCTATGTATTTCCACGAGGTCTTACCGAGAGCAGAGGAATGGCGGTTCTGTTCTCTCCAGACTCTCCATCTTGACCCTCCTTACTACTTCCTATTTCCTCCTTATCTCCTAGCCCCTCCTATCTTCCTTTCCTATTGGTCAACAGTGTTTTATTCATTAACCAGTATGACATCTCCCATCAGGGGGGCCAGTCTGGTCCTATTTTCATCCTATCTGAGATGGCATCTGTGCTCCACTCCATGTCTCTATGATGAGTCGTAGCATGTCATCAGCCCCACTTTAATCTGTGGTCTGCTCCCTGTTGCCTTGTCCAGCCATGCTTCTCCCATAACTAGTCCACAGAGGGCCAGAGCCACTGGTGAACTGGGACCGGCTCATACTGCTCAAAAGGAAATTCCAGAACTTCCTGGGTAAGGTGGTAGATTAGAAACAGCATGTGTACATAGATGAACACTAGATAAAAACCACAATAGTTCTATGCATATGTGAAAAGGAGCTAAAGAAAACAGAAATAAGCTGAGATAGGAGTTTCTCCAAGAAGAAGGAGCCAAGTCACTGGTAGCAGCCACAGCTGGCCAGCTGCAAACTCAAGCTAGGTGGAAACCTCAAAAGCTAGAAAGAAGCGGTTTGCTCTAGAAACACAACCAGGCATGTACCGATTGTGGCGGAAACTCAGAGACTAGAGGCTGAGACCAGGAGATAGACACCAGAGAAGACACTATCCCCTGGCCACCACTATGTGGTGAGCTACACTGGACTGTGAGAACACAGTGGGACCTGGTACAGGGCCTTAATGGCACACAAAGGTAAGCTCATGTGTGCAGGCCTCAGACCCTCCAGAGCCTGCCACCCAAAGCCCAATCCTTAGAACACCAGAGGCAAGGTTGCAGCATGCAAACAGCAGGCCTCAGACCAGGGAGTGATGGCAGAGAGCAGACTTTAGCGGCTGAGCTCTTTCCCATTTGGAAGGACACACTGACTTAACTTGTTTGAATTACTGAGACTAGCATATCCCCTGTCTACTTGTGGGGACCGATACACCTACAGTCCTTTTCTCTGCAGTGGTTTCTTTATTCCTCATGACTCAGGCCCGAGGCTTTCCTTCTCATTCCTACCTTACTACCTCTTCCCTCCTGCCCCTATTTCTTCCCCTTTCACCAGTTACATATTGATACCCTTAGCTCTAAGAGATAATGCTCTAAATGATAAAGCACACTTTCCACAGCCAGCGCCTAGTAATGTCAATCGAAACCTTATCAGGGATACCCACAAAGTACACAAAAGTTTTTTGCATGTAACATCAGGACAGCTGTTAACTCATGTATGTTGCCGAAGTTGCCTCCTGCCTTAATAACAGCATGTGTCGCCAGCTCACCAGAAGACTCACATAAAATAAAACAAGCAAACAAGAGGGGTAGGGGAAAATAAAATCTGGAGGATATATCTATCCTAACAGATGCATAAAACACAACAAAGATGAGCAAAGACCATGAGACTACAACCCACTACAGTACCATTGCTAGTTCATAACTCCTCTATAATGAAATAGCTGAAATTCTAGAAGATCACTCACACACACACCCCAAAAAAGAAGCTCCTACTGCCCAAAACAGTAAAGAGATCAATTCAGGACCAAAACAAAAACATTCAGAATGAAACTGATCAGTAACTTGGAGGAGAAATACAAAACCGTGGAGGAAAAAAAAAAAATCCAGCAAGGAAATCGAAACACTGAGAAAGAACCAAACAGAAAATTGTAGAAGTGAAAGAAAGAACTGGGAAATCAAATTTCAAACCACAGTGGATGGGGAGGTGAGATGGCTCAGTGAGCAGAGGTGGTTATGTGCAGCTCTGACAACCCAAGTTTGATCCCTAGAACCCACCCACAAGGTGACAGGACAAGACCAACTCACAAGAGTTGTTTAGTGACCTCCACTCGTGCACTGTGGTACATATGTGCCTGCATCTCACACACACACACACACACACACACACACACACACACACACACACACACTGGTAGTTAGTATGGGAAGAAAGAGAAACCCTCACTTATTGGGAATATATATAAACTGACACAGCAACTATGGAAATCAATATGGATGCTTCTCAAAAAAAATAAATAAATAAAATCCATATGACTACTTTTGCATCTAAAGACAAAGGAAATGTGTTTTACATGGTGAAGTTTTGTGCAGCCATAATGAAAAGTGAAATTGTGGGATGATTTCCAGGTAGAAAAAGCATAGAACTGGAAATTACTGTATTAGGAGAAGTAACAGACTCAGAAAGACTAAAAGCACATATTTTGTCTCTAATGAGGGTCCTGTATTTTAACTTTTATATATGTGTCTATATGAGCGTGTGGTTATAGTTCATGAAACTAGAAAAGGGGGGAAACTGGTCTTAAGAGGGGTGAGAGGGGACAGTGGGTATTAGAGTAGCTGTCAAAGCAGTTGGGGCAACTGGAGGGAGGAAGAAGGCCAACGGGAGGGGGGTGGGGAGGCCGAGGATGGGGAGTCGGGTTTCAAAGAAAGTATGTTTGAAATTTTATAATAAAATTTTATAATAAAATCCTTTACATGCTAATTGCATGCTAATTTTTTAACTCTAAAAAAGAAATAATAATTGCCAGACAATGATTGGTTGGTTGCCTGTAGCACGATAGTCATTAGTCTCAGTGATAGAATGTACAACAGTGCAAGCTGGGAAAGGTTTCTTTGCATTAGTTTACATC